CCCACTCCACCCTGAAAAAATAATATTAGCTTTAGTATTGGGTGACTATGTTTATTTTCAGATTAACATGTTTTAAACAGCATGTGTGGATAATGTGTACGATTAGCTTCCTAATCATTATATATGAAAATAATAATTAATCATAAAAGACAGCTACCTAATTCATGACATTATGAAAATTTTCTGAAAACCATTCTTGGTTATAGTAATTATGATTAATACTGACTTTAACAGAAAAAAACAATTATATAGTTGAAGTAAACGATTATATTTATTTAGTAATAATATATTATTTTTCAAAAAATTCTCCTCTCATCAATACACGCACACACACACTTCGAAAAAGAAAAACATAATTTATTTTATCGAACCATCGGTTTTTGTCGATTGCTATTAACATTTATCGGTGGTAATAATTGTTGTTCTTGTCTATCACTACCTCCTGATCTAAATCCATTATTCATTGTCATTGTTGTTGCTGGAGCTTGTTTCCATGGTCCTTGTGCTGCTGCTGCATTAAAAGCATGCTTAAAAAGGCAGATAATTATTAGAAAAAAATAACTTAATTAATTTATAAATTTACCCGACGATTTGTATTCATTTGAGCTTGTCGAAATGGCATACTATCAAGATCGGAAAGTAAAATTTCTTTTTGCATACGTTTAAATCTTTCAGCAGCATCATCATAAACTTGAAATTCATTATTAGGCTTATTAATTGTTGCTGTATCATCAAAACTACCGGTATTATTTCCATTTAAATAACATTCATTATACCATATATCAAATTCTATAAAAATAAATTAATAAGATGAAGACAAAAAAAAAGGATAAAAATCTTCTTTTAACCTTGAAGAAGTCGATTTTGACATTGATTAACTAAATTTTGACAATAATTGATTTCTGATTGAAGATTTTTCCATTGTTCATAATCATTTCTGTACGAACTTTTGAGTTCTTGTAGTTTAGCAATTAATTCATATTCTTCTTCATCAATAATTGTTTCTCCATTTTCATTTGAAAATTCACCTTAAGATAAAAAAATGTTTTCGACAAAATTTCATTAAATTGTATTTACCCATTGTTAATCGTTCCTGTTTTTTACGTTCAGCATCATTACGTGTATTATCAATATCACCTTTGACTTGATTTATATGTCGAGCTAATTCAGCAAATTGTTTTTTCTTCGATGCTAATATTTCTTTATTTTCCAAATAGATTTTATTTAAATTTAAACCTCGAGTTTGTTTAAAATCTTCAAATGCAACTGCACGATTGGGTGGTGTACTAATAAAACAAATTCATCTAATTATGAATTAAATATGTATGTTGTTAGTTTACCTTGGTCGTTGATCTCTCGCTTCCCCTAATTCATTTGATTCTCGAGTATGTGCAAGTTGATCATCGTCATTTGTAAGATTACGTTGAAGATTCGTACCAATTGGTTTTAATGAAACAGGTGAAAATTTATCTTTCGAACTAAATAAATATATTTTTAGTTTTTATGTTTTGAAAGCATTGAAAAATTCTATTTACTTTAATAGTTGCCCTGTTGATGATTTAGCTCCTGCTTGTCGTTTATTTCGTGTCATTTTAAGTAGAGCGTCTTTATTAACTCGTTGATCTTTTGAAACTGTACCCAATGCAAAATTTTGTCCATCAAGTTCACCAGCAGTACCATTTATACTACTTGTAGCTTGACTCACATTTGACATCTAAATATAAATTAGTTTTATCATATAAATCAAATTATTTAATATCGAGAATTTAGCACATATAAAGCAGAATATGTTCACTGTCTAATAGAACAAATGTTAAGCAAAATAAGAACGAGAATAATTCTTATATTTCGTATTAAAAGATAGATATTTTCATGGATATATATAGTTCTTTCCTTTCATGCCATTTTAAAAGAGCATAATTACTTACAATTGGTGAAAGATTGTCAACCTGTAACAGAGTTATTATTTTATTATCGATGTTAAGATTTGATTATGAAATTTTATTGTTTTGTAATTGAACAAATAGACAATTAAATACAACTTACTTTTTGACTATCTTGATGATCATATTCATGTTTATCGGGAGTAACAAATCGATCACGATATTTCTTTTCAACATCTTTTTCCGTTGTTCTAAATATTAATATTAACGATAAATAAATTCATAAATCATGTAACATACCGACAAATAGTTTTAAATGAATTGAAAGCAGCTGAAAATAAAAATAAAATGAATGATGAGTAGACATGTAGTGAACCCGAACGTTCGGGTTCGATCCAAACAAGTGGCGTAACCAGAAATTTAAGGATGATGGGGATCAGCCCCAAAACTGTCTAGTCTCTTGGATTTTTTGATTGACAAGTTCAGTAACTAAAAAGGTCGGGTGATGGGGTTAAGCCTCATCTAGCCCCAGTGTGGTTACGCCACTAGTCCAAACCATTTCGAACCCGAACCGTTCGGGTTCGCTACATGCCTAATGATGGGTATTTTAAAGCGTTATATCAAAACTTTCACCAGTTAAAGAAACAAACCTTGTACTTGACGAATATTTTTGACCTGAATTTCATCTACACTCCCATCAACATATCGTCGACATTGATTTTCAATTTCATGTAATTGTTGTTCATTTAATGGATCATATGAAATACCATGTCGATTAGCTAATGTATCATGTAATGCTAATTCTTCTTTTAAATGTTTATTTTCTCGTTTATAATTTTCAATTGCTTTTACAGGATCAACAACTTCATTTACAGTTGGTTCAGCAGGTACACACATCATTCGACTGGCAAATCGAAGTGTTGAAATCTATGTTATATAAAACAAAATTATTTTCTATTTTTTTCTTCTTTATTTTTCATACTGTTTCTTCCAAATGTTCTATTTCTGGCCAAATATTTGCAATCATAACTGTATGACATCGTCCTCCGATACTATCCTTTAATGCATGAGTTAATTTTGAACTTCGAAAATGTGATTGATTTGCTTTTTTATCCGATAGATTAAGTACAGCTTGTTCAAGAAATGATAAAGATTTATTAATAAATGTTGCTTCACGTTTGGTTACACCTTCAGACTAAATAGAAAATTTTTCTAATTATATTCATTAATTAACAAGACAAAAAATAACTTACATTTGTTTTAGCTAATCGTTCACTACCAGCTAAATCAACAAGATTTAATTTTGATGCTGTATATTTGTCATCTGATGATAATACTGATCGACATTCAATAAGAATTGTAAAGATACAATGTGAACGAGATGATTGTTTATTAAGTACATGTTGTCCAATAGCTCGATTTGTTTCACCTTCAAATAATAAATTTAATGCTTCTTCTTCACTGTTGGCAAGACGATATGATAATCCTTTGATATAAATAAAACCTGAATCTTCACCAATGGATAATTGCTGTTGTTGTTGTTGTTGTTGATACTC